ACACACACACACACACACACACACACACACACACACACACACACACACACACACACGTGTCAAAATCCAACATCAACAATTACGCAGGATGCATCATACCTGTGCTAAAGCTGACAGTTGAGGAATGCAATGTTAAAACATACAGCAAAAGACATTGCTGCATCCCACAGCGCAATCCCACAGTTTAACTTCACCCACACCTTCATCCACATGCAATAATTCGATTTGCCTGGCTTTCAGGGTTTGAAAGAAACAAGTAAAACACATTAAAAATATATATATATCCTCGATGTTGAAGGTGGAATGCAATGTTAAAACATACAGCAAAAGACATTGCTGCATCCCACACCGCAACAATGGCTCATTCACCAAACCAACAATCAAACTGGCCAATGTGAAAACATGCAGCGAAAGGCATTGCCAGTGTGAGCTGGCCACGTAGTAATGGCTCATTCACAGGGGCAAGGGCCAAAGTGGCCCTGTGGCCCTTATCGTCCTCCCCCAAATGGAACGCACCGTCATTATCACTGTATCTAGACTGAAAGATGCCCCAAATACGTCTGTGGAGATGATCATAGCTTCTACTCAGGGCAAGACGGTAGTAATTAACGGCGTCAATCATTCTGAAACCTCCGACTGCAACCACCATTATTATTCACTAACGCGACTGGAAGGATGGCAGACATCACAAAATTACCTTTCATTCTCCCTAGAAAGAAAGCACAAAAAGAAATAAAAAGAAAGCACAACAGCAGTGGAAGTGGGTGAGGCAGAAAATCAATGCCGGTGAAATCGCATGCAAACAGCCAGACCACGTCATAAGAACCTACCGTCTTCACCCGAATAGAACGCCCAGTCATTCTAGCTGTATCTGGACTGAAAATTGCACCAAATACGGCTATAATGACCGGGCGTTCTATTCGGGTGGAGACAGTGGGCCACAGGATGAGAGCGTAAGTAATGGCAGGATCAGAAAGGCAAAGCAAAGGCCACAAATTCCATCTCATACAAACCACTGCCGTTAATATTGCTTGATTAGAGGGGTGGGGGTAACGAAGGCAGTTCTCCAACACCGGGCATCTCCCGCTGTATATGATGCAGAATGCAGATGAATACCGTCTTCCTCCGAATAATATATAACATACGGTCATTGTTGTTGTATCTAGACTGCAAGGTACCCCTAATACAGCTACTAGCTATACTGACCGTATGTTCGATTGAGGGGAACGCAGTAGTGCAAAGGCCACAAATTTGATCCCATACGAACAACTGTCGCCGTTCAGATCCCCCATGATTAGAGGGGGTGGTCATAATAACAATGGTATTTTTCACTATTTTTCCAACACCAGACATCCAACTGTGTATATGCACTGCTGATGAATAGTCCAAAAAGTCACAACAAATTTGAGCTCATGACAAACTGGTGGAAGGGGGTTCTTGCCACGAGTGAATGGGCTAAATCTTGTAAAGCATGCTGGTGATGAGCAACCGCGCTGCAGCGCCCCACAGAATAGATGGGGCATACACGTATGCGTGGGTGTTCCCAAAAAAAAAAAAAAGAAAAAAGAAAAAAAGAAACAGAAGCAACAACAACAACAGAGGCAAAAAAAAAAAAAAAAGAAGCAACAACAACAACAACAACAACAGAGGCAGTTTTCAACATCACGCATCTAGCTGTGTGTGCGTGCAATGCTGACGAATACTACGAACACAGTCGACACTTACCAACCCCTTCTTCACTCCCACAAGAATTTCCTGGACTTTATCCTGAATTGTCTCCACCTGCAACCAACCAAATCAAGCAACAGTTGGCATAAGAAGGGGGGGGGGGGAACAGGTTCAGCAGCCCTATAGGGGCTGAAGGGTAGTTGTAGGGAGGAGAAGAATAGTAGAAACGATGGTTGCTGGTTTTCGTGGACTTCTTGTCTGAATGGTTACGACCAAGCCTGAGATTTGCAGCCTAAGAGGCTGCTAGGAGGGCCTCACCCGCGCCTTGTCCTCCCTAAGGCCCTTCTGCTGCGTGATTGCCTTACCGTAAGGGCACGGGTGCGCAGCCCGTAGTTCGTTTGTTGATGCAGTTGGGGAAGGGTGAGATAGTGATTTTATGGTGTGCGTATGTTTTGCTATGTTCGCTGTACACAATTCGAAGAGTGTAAGGGGGGGGGGTCCGGCTAGTGCTCTATTAACGATGCCCATGGGTTGCTGGACCCAGTTTCCAGCAGGTGGCGCTCCCCACCAATAGACAACAGAATGTGTGTGTGTGTGTGTGTGTGTGTGTGTGTGTGTGTGTGTGTGTGTGTGNAGAGAGAGAGAGAGAGAGAGAGAGAGAGAGAGAGACCTGCAGCATGCACCATGTCAGTGGCGAGGAGCACATGGGCAGGCGCTGACCTCCAAAACAACAAAGAAAACATAATATGTGATTGGAACACAAGAGTTTTTCCTTTTCAACTTCGAGTAGAAAGGGTATATGTTGTATTCGAACACAACGCGCAAGTGTTCTATCCGAACTGCTCTTCTATTTTAGAAAAGTGGACCCACACCGTTTTGATTTCGAAATGTTCAAAACTGAAGGACCGGCCTCCTCGGCCTCCTACGGGCAGCTACTGGTCCTTCGCATGCCCCGCCCCTTGCTACGCCCCGAAACCTCAAAATGCCCACCCTCCCGAACGACCACCGGCGTTGAAATGTCTCAGGGGGGGGGGGGCGGGGGACACAACCCTGACGGGCTGCAAACTGGGTGCTGCCAGTAAGCTTCCCGGCCAGCAGAAGTCCCCTAGGACGGCTATGGTTGGTGGGGGGAAGGGGGGAGGGGGGAGGGGGGTCGGCTCATAGCAGCCCCCCCCCTCCCCCTTGAGCAAGTGACTAGTACTCCAAGGGCTGGGCTGATCCTTCTTCACTTTTCTTCTTTTGCTCGTTTCCTGTACTCATGCTTGCCGGTAATAAGCAACCGGACTGACGCCCCCCAGAATAGAAGGGGCTTGTGTGTTTTGGGTTTAAAAATGAAAAGCAAGCAGCAGGCGTCCCCCCAGGAAGGCCATGATTTGGGGGAGGGATGATTCATGACAGCCCCTACCCTGTGCAGGCATCTAGTCCCACAAGGGCATGGCCGACTCCTTTTCTTACTTCTTCTTGGTTGTACTCTCATGGTTTCCGGTGATAAACAACCGGACTGTTGGCCCCCAGAATAGAAGAGGCTTGTGCTTTTTTTTGGGGGGGGAGGAAAGAAAAGCAAGCAGCAGTTGAGTGGAACATCTATCTCAGAACCAACTGGCCTAGCTCAGTTGGTAGACCCCCTTAACTGTTGAAATACAGACCCAAGTTTGAACTCCACTCAAAGCAGATGAACAGATGAGTAAAATACTGCAAATTTGAATTACCTAGGGCCGGTCAGTTCAAATGATGATATCTCAAGGTCGTTGCCCTTTCTAGAAAAAAAAAAAGAAAAAGAGAAAAAAAAAAAAAAAAACATCTATCTTAGAAAGCGTATCTGGAAGACTGGAGTCCTATTGGTGACCCGATTCAAATCAAAACCCCCCTCGATTTCGATTCCCTCCCCCTGATTTTTAATACACACTCCCACAAGACAGGCCGTCCATTGCAGCTCCCCCCTCACATCACAAAAATCGGGTCACCAATCTGGAAAAATAGGGTTATGTCAGACAGCGGAGGAGTAAACAATGATTCACACACATCTCACTCGCATAACGAAATGCTGAGCGGTAAATGCAATCTGAAACAACAAGCAGTGGAAGAGTTGTTTCTTCGGCTTATCTTTTTTTCTTTTTCTCTTTTTTGACACGGTGTTTCCCTTTTCATTTCTTCCGTTCTTTTCATTTTATTTTTCGTTTAACGCCCTCGCGATTCTCTCCCCAGAACCAACTACAGAGCAAACAGATACTACTAAAACCGCGGGTCTCAATGACCAACAAGTGATGTTTGGACCAATGTGAGTAACAACTTTGGACCAGTGGGAGCAACAACTTTGGAGAAATGGGTGGAATACCCACTTCAACGCTTCTCCCCATCATGGTTGGGAGACCCAAGGAGGCGGCATTGATTACTGCCTCTTGGAAGGATACACCCCCCCTCACTCCTGCCTAAGCCTCCTACAAAGCGACTTCCTTGAACCTGCCGGCACCAGCTTCGCCCACTTCAAAGGGTGGAATAGGAACCGTTCTGATGCTCCCAAGAATGAATATGGATGAATATGGAGCCAGAGCCATGTGGCTCTGTAAAAAAATAATAATAATAATAATAATAATAATAATAAAAAAAAAGGAGGAGTCTGGACCAATGGGAGTAACAGATTCGGACCAATGGAAGTAACGGCTTTGAGCAATGAGTCTAATGACTTTAACCGACGCCTGCTACCCATGAAAGTAATAGGTGTAATGACTACGGCCAAACAACTCCAATGGGTATAACGACTATAGCCAAATGACACCAATGGGTCTAACGACTATAGCAAAACGACATCAATGGGTCTAACGACTATAGCCAAATGACGCCAATGGGTCTCCCGACCTGGATCTTAACATTCACGAGACCCCCGTCATCCGCAGGTAGACCCTAGGTGGCCCCTGAAATGCAGTACCCGGTTCCCTCTACACATCTGAGCATTCTACCGGAGCTCCCACAGGCCAAGGCCAACATCTAACCTACGACCACCCCTAAACCTACACGGGTCTTTTTTTTTAACCGGGCCTGGTGCCCAAGGCTGATATTACCAATAATAAGATGAGGCCGGGGTCCTCATGTTCTATGGATGGTTTATGATGAATCGTGGATGGAATGAGAGAGAGAATTCGGGGTTTGTAAAACACACACACACACACACACACACACACACACACACACACACACACACACACACACACACCAGAGAGCACCCGTGTTATGCAGTTGGCCGCCATGCATTTATTGAATCGGCTGTGAACTAACAGGTTGATCCAGAGTAAACATTGACAATCTTAGATACGGTGATGTTTTCCATTCCTCGGCGTGAGTAAAGCAGTATGCAATTTTATTTCGTTCTAAATGCAAACTCGTTGATGCCGAGAAATGGCGGCCGAGGAGTAATGAGTACTGTACTGCATTAATAATTGAAGTTCTGGGATGAAAATTGAAAATTTTTTACATCCAACACAAACACTTCCCCTTTTTATTTGCATCCAAATTTCCAAACATAAGATCCTAATCTGCCCTCCCTCCCACCCCCCTGGCTGGACACCCCTCCTTACCTTCCGGTGGACCGTAGTGACCGCGCCTTTCTGAATAGATATCCATTTCGACTGCATGGCCTGTTTGAACCCAATGTCATAAACTTTCCCAACAAGTCCCTGCAAAAAAATGACATTCTGCCAATCAGCATCGCTGAACCAGATTTGTCCCCCTCTTCCCC